TTTCAGAACTGGAGATTGAACTCAGGCCCTTGTGCTTGCCAGGGAAGCACTTATTCCTCTGAGCCATCTCCCCAGCCCGTCTCTTGATACATATCTTTTTAATGCAGTGCTGGGTATTAAACCCTGGACGTTGGGCATACTGGGCAAGTGCTGTACTTTGGAGCCAGAGCCCTAGGCCTCTAAGACAATGTTAATTAAAATAGGACACTTCTACCAATGACACTTGATTACCCTGTCCATAACTGCTGTCTGTTTTCTTTGACGAAGTAAAGAAAACAACTGCTTCTCCCATTGCTGTGACCTCCGGGCCCTTAAGCCCTTCCTCCCTTGAGGCAGCCACCCTCACATGGCGGTGAGGATAGGGGCTGGAGAGTTGGGCAGGTCACCCCAGAGCTTGGTGGCATTCCGGGACACACTTAGGACTTGACTTTGAGCCTCAGAAGTGTAACTGATCTTGACAACTGTGTGTAGAGGAACCCGACGCCCAGATAGTGAGCCGTGGCTTACACTGCAACATGGTGCGGTCTTCTCAAAGCAGCAGCCTCTCCAGCCCATCATGGAGATGAGGGTGGCAGCCATGAGCACCTGCAGAATGTCAGGGAGAGAGTGGGTCATTCCCCTCTTGCCTGTGTCCGCTGCTGCCCAAGGCTGCTGGGGGGAGAGGAGATGGCTGGCCACCTCACAAGGATATTTTATTGGGCTCGCTCTCTCTTTTCTTTTTTTAAGACAGTCTAGCTATTTAGTCAGCTATTAGATTAGCCTTGAACTCATCTTATAACCCAGTTTGACCTCCGCCTCACAGAGATCCTCCCATCTCAGCCTTGCTAGTGCTCAGATTATAGATGTGTACCACGAGGTTCAGCTCTGTCCTATTGGCTCTAACTCCCAGGATGTGGTTTCAGGTGACCTGAGCTGTAGGTGCCAGGCTCACCCAGCCTGTCTGGCTCCAAGGAGACCATCCTGCCTTTGCGACGTCTCCCAAATCCTGAGAGTAGGCATTTAGCATCCAAGACAGGAAGGTTGTAGCCATCAAAGCTCTGCTCCACACAGGCCCAGCTCCACCCCTGTGGGCACTGTGAATTCCCACTGGAGTCACATCTCACCATGAGGCCCCCTCCCCAGAGCCCGGAGCCCAGCAGGGCATGCCGGCCCACGAGGCCCCGCAGGAGGTAGGTGACATCCCAGTTGGGGAAGAGGAGTGCTGTGTTGGCGCCAGCAGCAAACAGCGCTGTAGCCCCCAGGCTCAGCCCCAGGACTCGGGAGCAGGTCCTCGAGCAGCCCACCAGGCAGGGAGGAAACAGCATCCTGCAGCAGAGGGAGCGCAGCAGCGGCCTGTGGGTGAGCAAGGGGAAGCACAGTCAGAAAGGGCCCCTCCCAGGGGCCGAGGAGACCCAAAGAGCACTGTCCTCTGTCATTCCTAATAGCTGGGCAAGGTGGCCCAGCTGGCAGTCCCAACAGTCGGGAGGCTGAGGCAGGGGCATCACCAGGTGTTTGAGGCCAGCCAGGGGTGCACAGTGAGCCCAAACTATGTAGTGCTCTGGCCCCGTCTCAAACACAAAAATGAATCTTCCCCAGTAAATAGGATATATATATATATATATATTTGTTACATTTTTAAATGTAACAAATGTAAATAGGTCTACAGGGTCTCACTACATAGATCAGACTCATAGTGATTTTCCTGTTTTCAGCCTCCCAAGCGCTGGGATTACAGGCATGTGCCACCACGCCTAGTCTCAATCACTGTTTCAGCACGCCCCAGGGGTGAGGCCAGCACACCATGCTGGGGATCGAACCCTGGCCTCTGTGCTCTGCCTAAGCAGGAGCTTTAGTCTGCTGAGCTATCTGGCTGGCCCCAGAATAAGATTTTTTTTTAAAAAAATGTATTTGGTTGCTTCAGGGTCTCACTATGCAGCTCGGACTCGTGGTGATCCTCCTGCTTTCAGCCTCCCCAGCTCTGGGATTACAGATGTGCACCACTATGCCTGGACTCTGGCCGGCTCAGCCCCTGAGGGGCAGGGCCAGGGATCAAACCACAATCCTTGTGCTTGCCTGAGCTTGTGTAAGCAGGCACTTTAGTCTGCTGAGCTCTCACTGGCCCCCTCAATGAATAGGATTTAATGGCTCAATTTTCTGCCAAACCTACGTGCATACATTCCACGCTTCTGCCTCTATTTCAGCCAGTGATTATTTCAGTTTGGTAAAGAAAAAACACATTTTTAAAGGTGTCATCACAGCACCCGCTCTGAGCATTTCTACCCAGTGTTGCGGAGGAGGGCTTGTCCAGTGCAACAGGGAAATTAAAAGAATTTTTGTCTGTTTAGAGTTTGCAGCCAAGAACCACACTGCCATTATTCCAGTTCACACCATCATCTATGTAGAAAATCCCCAGCAAACTAGCAAAAACTGACAGCAGGTCCAACAGCAAACACCTACAATTCTAGGTACTCTGGGAGCTGAGGCAGGAGGCCAGCCTGGGTAACTTGGTAAGTCTCAAAAACAAGGAAAGGGTTAGGGTGTGACTCAAGTGTGAAGACCTTAGATTAAACCATCAGCAGTGGCGGAAAAGAAAAATACATATATATGGTATGTATATGGATAAATTAAACAAAATGTGAACAAGAATTATGAAGTATTACCAAAGAAAAGTAAATAAGACCTATTTAAATAGGGGCTGGCGAAATAGCTCCATGGACTAAGTGCCTGCTTTGGCAAGCGCAGGGACCAGGGTTCGATCCCCGATCCCACATGCTGCGCCAGCCCTGCCACCAGGGTGCACTGAGCCAGCCACAGAGTGCGGGTATGGTGGCACACGCCTGTGATCACAGTGCTCAGAAGACTAAGACAGGAGGATCAGTGCGAGTCTGAGCTGCATAGTGAGACCCTGTACCAAATAAATACATAAAATCTTTTTTTTAAAATGACAAATATTGCTCTTGGCTACGGCGGACCCGCAGAGATCCAGCAGTGCTGGGAACGTCAGATCTCATGTGAAGTGTCTTTTCGGCGGCTTCTCCCCACTCCAAACCCCCCAATAAAGTGATTTGGTCTCCAAAAAAAAAAATAATAAAATAAAATAAAATGACAAATATTACCAGGGCATGGTGGCCACCACCTGTAATCCCAGCAACTCTGGGTGCTGAATCAGGAGGATGGCAAGCTTGAACTCAGCAACCTGGGCAACTTAGCCAGACCCTGTCTCAGAATAAAACATTGAAAAGGGCTGGAGATGGAGCTCAGTGCAAAGGCCTGGGTTCAATACCCAGTGCTGAAAAGAAAACACGAGGAGGACCAATGTAACTTGTGCACTGCAGAAGATACTTTTAAGAAAACGGAAAGACAAACACAGACCAGGAGAAATGTTCACAGTACATATCTCATGATGTATATTTAAACATGAATACAGAGGCTGGGTGTGGTGGCACATACCTGTAATTACAGCACTTGAGAGGCTGAGGCAGGAGCAACCCTGCAAATTCAAGGCCAGCCTGCACTATATAGCAAGACCTTGTCACAAAATCAAAATACAAGAATATAGGCACATCTGACAGGAACCTGTGTTTAAGTTATATAAAGAAGCTTTAGAATATGCTACTAAAGATTAAAGTGTAGCTCAGGGACAGAGCACGTTTGAGGCCCTGGGATCTATCTCCAACACTTCAAAACACCACAGTTTTTATTTTTATGTATTTGGTACAGAGTCTCACTACACAGCTTGAACTCATAGTGATGCTCCTGTTTGCAGCCTCCCCAGTGCTGGGGTTACAGGCATGCATCACCATGCCCACACTCTGTGACTGGCTCAGCTCACCCAGAGGTCAGGCTGGCGCAGCATGTGGTGCCGGGGATCAAACCTTGGTCCCTGACCTAAGCAGGTGCTTAGTCTGCTGAGCTATCTCACTGGCCCAAAACACAATTTTAGGGGGGAAAAGGAATAGAATTTATTTATTTATTTATTTATTTATTT